GTCAGTAGCCCACACAGGCCCTGCGTGAAGGACAGAGCACTCCTGCATGGAAGGCTAGCACCTTGTGAAGCCATGGTCATATGGCCCTCAGTGACAACTGAGTCAAGGAGGGTCAGCACATAGACTGGGGTGCTCAAGCATGGCAGGAATAGGGTCAGTTCATGGTACAGACCATGATCCTAAGACATGAGAATACTGTATAGAGCAAACTCTCTCATATCTCCAGAAAGGCACTACACCAAGAATACACAGCCCACCTAAAATGCAAATGGGGACGCCATGGAGTTTTAAACTATCTGTTTAACCCTACTGAAAGGAGAGTATGAGCCTTGCATTTCTGCTCTTGTATAATTTGTCTTTCATTTTATTTTTGCTCTTACTAATCATAAAGCTTCAATTCATCTTGTGTCTGTTTTTTGTTGTTGGTGGTGTTGTTATACTTAGTTCAGAGAAAAGAATAATTTCAGAATAAAGAGCAGATGCTTCAGAGTTTTATGTCCCTGAACTCAACCTAAATGGATGTGTCCATAACTAAAAATTACAACTATTAATAACTGAAAAAGCCATGGTTTACAATGTAGTTATGGCCAAGTCCAAGAACCACACGACACACAACCAGTCCTGAAAATGGCACAGAAATGTCATCAAGAAGCCTCGGTCACAAAGATATGAATCTCTGAAGGGGATGGATCCCAAGTTCCTTAGGAACATGTGTTTGGCCAAGCAGCACAAGAAAGGCTTCAAGAAGATGCAAGCAAACAATGCCAAGGCTATGAGTACATGTACCGAAGCTATCAAGGTCCTCATCAAGCCCAAGGAGGTCAAGCCCAAGATCATTCCAAAGGGAGTAAACCGCAGGCTTGCTTGACTTGCCTATACTGTCCACCCTAGCTTGGGAAGTGTATCCATGCCCCCGTTGCCAAGGGTCGCAGGCCTCGCCGGCCAAAGGCCCAGCTCCAGCCAAGGCCCAGGCTCCAGCTTCTGACGCAGCCCAACTCCCAAAGGTGCCCAGGCCCCCATGAAGGCTCCACAGTAAAAGCCTCTTATCTGCTGATATAAAAACAGAAGGACTGGTGTGATCCCTGGGGTGCCATCTGTGGGGGGCTGGTGTCCTCCTATGCTCTTCGTACAAATAAACCTGAGGTAGGATATGTTAAAAAAAAAACAAAAAAAAAAACAAAACAAAACAAAACAAAAAAAACTGAAAAAAGTCATGTTTTTATTAAAAATTCTATGACAAGAACTTAAAAAGAGATGCCAATCTGAATCACACCAACGGTTTATGCCACTAACATGGCCTACGACAGTTGCTCCCAAGAAAGTTTTATTAATGAGTCTGATAATTAATGCCATCTTACACTGCAATGTCCTAGTATCAGCTTTTTAGTTCAAAGTTATAACTTATCCTATTTTTTATTAAGTGGAGCTGGAACAATTTTTATACATTTTCCCCACGAAAGCTCCGTAAAAGAAGCTTGACTGGTACTAAACTCAAGTGTATGGTAGGATGAAAATGGCATTACAAAATCATGCATTCATTCTGGACGTACGTTCTTCTGCTCAACTGTATTGAACACATAAAACTACCCATTTGACCAAACAACTTAAAAATGTAAAATTAAAAAAAGCAAGAATTTTTAGAAGATAAATTTCCTTCTTCGTTAGGAAGACATCACTAATTAATAAGCATTCTAATCTACTGTCTTATTCTCTATATTCCATTATATCTGCCACTTAAGATCATCAATTTCATGAACAGAAAAGACTACTAGCTTTTGTTAAAGTCTCTGCAATTGCTTTTAGAACTACTTTCGGGCCAGTGAGACAGCTCAGTGGACTAAGTGCTTGCTTAGGCAAGTCAGGGACCAGGGTTCGATCCCCAGCATCACACGCCACGCTAGCCCCATCCCCTGGGTATGCTGAGCACAACACTGGGCACAGTGGTGCACACCTGTAATCCCAGCCCTGGGGAGGCTGAAAGCAGGAGGATCACCATGAGTCCGAGCTGTGTAGTGAGACCCTGTACCAAATACATTGAGAGAGAGAGAGAGAGAGAGAGAGAGAGAGAGAGAGAGAGAGAGAGAGAATGAATTAACTACTTTCTTTTGCTAATGGTAATTTATAAAAATGATAAATTTTACTAAGCTTTCTCTATTTCAAAACAACCTTATGGAATGAATAGAATCTAGAGTCAAGTTTCCATTTGGTAGACATAAGAACAAATGCAAAGAGGTTACCTGATTTCTCAAAGCCGCACAATGACAGAGTAAGTTCTTAGATCTTTGTGGCCAAGTAAAATTTCAAAAAGCATTCCAAGGATCCCACAAAAGGGATGCCAATTTTGTTATTTTTTAAGTAAAGAAAAAAATATATATATATAACTTCAATCTACTATTGCTAACATATACAACTCACCTTTTATGATAGTAGAATAGGAAAGTCATAATAGAAAATGTGGCTCTTAAATTAATAAAATATGCTTTATAAAAATTTCACCACATTCTACTTGTTTTCTCATTTTACTGTGGGACTGGTGAAAATTCCTCAGGTCTAGAACTAGTTCTCAGACAATACAATACCTGGAAGCCATTTCCCTCTTTTATGCTATTTCAAAATTCATATTAGTTCTTCCATATCTTTTCCTACTTGCATTTCACCATTTTTAAGAAAAAGACCCCAATAAATTGTGGGTTTTTTTTGTTGTTGCTCTTATTGTTGTGGTTTTTTCCTGAGGCTGGAGATGTAGTTTAATGGTGAAGCCTACATGTGTGATTCCTGAGTTTCATCTCTAATACCACCAAAAAAGTATTTTTTTAAAAAGATGCTGTTTTTTTCTAGTACTATAACAAAATGATAAGAACCATAAATTTACATATCATCAAAACCCAAATCTTTTGACTGACTAAGCATTACTAGGGTCAAGACTAGCAGAAATTCGGGAAATACAGAGGCACCATGGTGCCCATCACATGCACTGCCTGCATCATTACTTTAGTAAGAATAGTGGGAAATACACTTGACTATGTCTTCTCTTTCCTCACTCCACTTTCAAACTTACACAAGAGAATGAATTAGAACAATGATTCCTGTCTAGGCAGGAGCTATGCCACATCTGTCTTTACCTCCAAAAGGTCTATTTTTATGCCTCCTCCCGGACTGGTTTACTGGAAGTTCCCAACCCTTCAATGACAAATAAATAGCTAATTTTATAAAGCTTTACAGTTAATTTGCCATTGTACTGTGTATACCACTGTATTTACACAACAAAAGGAACAGCTATCAAATCCTATTCAATAATCATCGTCAACACATGGTCTTCTGTTATATGTGGTCTTCTCTGATGACTTCCTTCAGCTTTGGGAAAGAACTACATGAAAGTCAGAGAGAAAAGAACACCTGACTATGTTCCCAATCAAACAAATCAAGCTCTATGACCCGTGTCACAGCAACA